CTTGAGTGTGTGTGTGGCCCGCAAGGGCACTTGCTCATTCATTGGGCCCTCAGGGCTGGTACTTACCTGTGGCCGTGACATTGAGGGATTGCAGCAGGAAAAACACTCAAGTAGCGGATAGTCCGGTACCGCACCCCGAAGAGGTAGATGTGCGGGTACTGGAGGCCGAGCAGTAGAAGACAAAAGTGGCATTTTTAGAGGCTTGATAGTTGTAGGTTAGGTCTAGGTGGATGCCAGTCAAACCAGTCTGGGTCTAGGGCCTGTACGGGCAATATCAGAGTCTGCAATGATGTTTCCCTCCGAAAGGGAGGAGGTACCAGTTGCTTGGAAGGCCGAGTGGCCTGGAAGTCACTGCCCGAAGAGCAAGCAGGCTGCTATATCTCCCAGCCGGGCGAAGAGCCCGGCCTCTTTCTCGGTGTGCGAGTTTGGCGACACACTGGTTGGGGCACCGGTTGGAGCAGCGCTATCCAAGAGCAGCGCTGCTGGGGGAAGGAGAAGGACACGGAGGAGGAAGAAGGACAGGAAGGGGGAGGAGCGCCAGGGTTACTTACCTGGCTATGGTGGCAGCCATCTTCATCACGGTGACCTTGGTAGGCGCTGCAGCAGGGAGTCCCCAACTGGGGAGAGCTACACCAAGAAGCTTCGAGGCAGGGTCGGGCGTGGCGGCCTGAGCTACAGCAGCCATAGCTGCTTTGGGTTGTCCTTTGGGCATCTGGGCCAGGCCTAGTAGTCCGCCATAGCCTCGGCCTATGAGAGTGAAGAGTGGGAGAGCCGGCCATGGCTATGGTGGACCCCAAGTGATACCTGCAGTACAAGATAAACATGGACATTGATTCTGGATCAGCCATTCAACATTGTATTATTATTTATTGTTTGAATAAGAGAAGGGGGAGATAAGGAGGAGGAGATTGTTGGGCGAAGAAGAAGAGCCTTGTCATTTGTCTGTGATGGTGTACATCATCTTCTTCTTCTTTCTTTCTTCTTCTTCTTCTTCTAATCCTCTCTCTCCTCTCAAGTTCATTCATTTCTTTCTGCAATTGGACGGCATTATACTATCTGATGGATGTGTATCTCGAAATTGGTCAGGATCATAACAGTTTTCTTTTTGTTGTGAGGTCCTTCTAGCGCCCTGCCAGCCAGGCAGGACGGATTCCACGGGAGACAACTAACTGCCTCGTTTCATTCAGTTCCAGACAAGTCCTGTAGCATCCTGTATTGGACTGCTATCACACCATAAGGGATGCTTTTTGTTTTTTCGTTTTCCCGAGTTTTAACTGCAATTGAAACTCGGGCCCTGACTAAACTGCTAAAACGCAGTTTCAAATGCAATTACAAACTGCTTTCGTGACTGCGCCGTAGTTACCCTTTTAAGGAAAAAAAAAAAGAAAAAAAAGAGCGAATTTCTGGGCTGAGAAAACAGGAGAGAGGCAAAAGAAAAAAAAAGAAACAGAGACCTCCCACTGGAAATCACGGCAAACTCAGGCAGAGTGCTTCCTAGCCATCAGATCGTAAATGATCTGATGGTGGTGGTTGCAACAACAGTGAACGAAGTAACTGCCAAATGTTCTGGAATAAAATAGACTTCTGTCAGCAGTGATCATGACGCCCTCGAAATACTCCGTGATTGAAGGAGGGCTCCACCCAATGAGATAATTGCACAGCAGCACGCAAAATACTGAAAATCTTCTAGCCAGTGGGCCTGTGGCCGATCCCACCCTCTTTTGGGGTTGGCCATACACCCAACGGATTGAAACCATTTTGGCGGGAAGCCTCCTTTGCACGGGCATGCCCAGTGTTAAGGAGAGGAGGAGGAACAATGATCTCCTTAGTTTTTTGGGTAATACATGTAAAATACTGACCGTGGGATCACAAGTACTGCACGGCAGGATTCGGGTCACTCAACTGCCACACAAACTCTGTTCTATCCTGTCCCGTTGCTGGTGGGACTATAGGGCTCGTTCGACACTCCTTGGGGACGTGAAATCCACAAGGACGCGCTCGTTCCACCTGTCCTTGGGGACGAAATTGAAAAAGAAATGTGAAAACGCCACAAGGGAAATTGCTTGTGGCATCCTTGTGGCCCCAGCCATTTTTTCCTTGTGCCCAAGGGACCTCGCGAGGTCCCTTGGGCACAAGGAATCCGCGTTTCACGGAGAGGAGAGGGCACACGGGTAGATAGACGTTACAGCTGAGAATCTGGATCATGGCGGCACGCTATTGGCTGAAGGCCTGAAGCACGACTGTTTTTTTTTTTTCTTTTCATTTTTTTTTTCTGACATCAGTCTTAGGAAATGTCCTCGGGCGACATCCCCGAGGACAGGTGGAACGAAGAGCCCAAATTCCCTTACGAGCCACAAGGAAAATTCATTGTGGCGCAAGGAACTCGTAAGTAGTTTCTAACGAGACCCTATGCTCCTGGCCTGAAAGGCCATCCTGTTCAGATGCGACAGGTAAAATAACGTGCACCCGTTAACAAGCCACCATTTTCGGAAACTTACTGGCCTCTACAGGAACACCCAAATTCATCCGACTAGAAGCGTTTCTACTCTATTTTTTCCCGCGGCCTATAGCTGGGCCAGGTACTGGTGGTTTAAAAGAATTAGGGCCTCGTTCGACACTCCTCGGGGCCCGAAATTCCCCAAGGAAATACTCGTTCCACTCATCCTCGGGGAAGACGCGGAAAAGAAAATCTGAAAACATTTCCTCGGGGATTCCTCGGGGATTCCTCGGGGCCACAGCCATTTTGGCAATTTCCCCAAGGGACCTCCCGAGGTCCCTTGGAAGTCGAGCTTCCGGAAGAATCGAGGCGTTGACGGCAGTTCCTTCGACGACATTTTTCAATTCCGTCTGGTCCATCGGTGGTCCTGCCTGCGTCTCCACAGACATGTTGGGTCGCCAACGTCCGGCTTCACTCCAACGGTTACCGTTTGCGGCCTACCGGCATCCCCGACGTCCAGAAGGTGCCGTCTTGCGTCGTCGCATTTGGCAATCCGCGGGAATTTCCCAACGGTCGGCAGATACGAATATTTCAGCCTGCACTGCCTCTCCCAATTACGCACTGTTCGTGGAAGACCGAAGACGCCCTCGGGGGTTTGTTGAGAAGTCGGGACGACCGTTTGCAGCACTGCACTCCGCTGTTATGTTGGCGCCCGGGTTGTCTTCCGTCTGCTGCCGTCGTCGTCGACTGTTTCATGGCTGACGTGTTCCGCAGGCTTCCACTGCTGCTCCTCGTTGTCCTGTTGCTGCTCCTCGTGGTTCTCTTCCGCGTGTGCATCCTTGGGAACGTGCCGCCGCGTGGACGGAGAAGAAGGTCTTCGATGAAGGACACCAGGACGGAGGCAAGGCAGGCGATCCCCCGGTCTGGAGGGGCGCAGGTCGGAGGGAGGCGGTGCGGGGGGAGCCTGTCGACCGTTGGCAGGGCCTCCCAGCGGGTTGGGTATGAGGCATTGCCACCGCACTTGCAACCACTCTTCGGCTCATCAGATGAGGAGGAGGAGGTGGAGAGACGGCCGGAAACCATGTCGTTGGGTAGCGGATCAACGCAGGAGTGGGCAGCCACGGAGATGTGCGGGACGGGCTACGGTGTGTACGACCAGTCGTTCACTGAACTCCTTCGGCCTGGCCTTAGCGAAGACGAAGGAGATGGCCGCGTCAACCTGTCGTTTGGTTTGTTCATCGGGCGATCGTCGTTCAAGTGTTGTTTTGTCCTGCTGAACAGTTCGCGATGTCGTTCTTTCATTTTCATCCGTTTGTTTCGTATTTAGTTTTCTCAAATTTTATTTTTGGGAACTTATTTCCTTCACTGGATTTCGACATGCCACTGTTCAGAGGTGGCATGCGGAGTAAAAGGTGTGCAATGCTAGCGCAGCGAATATCCTTATGGATGATGTTCTTTTTTATCTTCGCATCGATGCGTGGTCTTCTGTTTTCGTTCGATCCATCACTTGTTTTTTGTAAAACGCATGCATGGCAGGTTCCGTTTCTTCTCTCATTGACTTCTGAATGTTCGTGGCAACAAAGTTATGCATCATGGTTCGTGCGTATGGAACATCCAATCCATCATTTCGTCTTCCGTTCCATCATAAAAACAAAAACTTAATTGAACGTCTGTGGGGAGTGAGAACGGTAAACAAGCAGGAAACGCAAAGGTCGATGCAGACAAAGTGGTGAAAAATCTTCGAAACCACGGACCAAAACAACAGTATTGCAAACCCATGCAATACGACCTCCCTTGAACATAACAACAAAAGAAATGACAAATGAACTGTATTTTGCGCACACCGTTGTGAGCGAAGAAAACTCAAATCTTAAAAAGGGATTCCCCTTAGATGGCAAATGCATTTCCAGGTACCAACAAAGTTACATTGTACTCAATCAAACCCCCCCACCCCACCCTCCACCCCCCCTCTCGCCCGTCGTCCCCCGTCATCACAACTACTGCACGTCGCCGACATGCCACGTGCCACCGCGCCACGCGCACCTGCCTAACGACAATATCCGCAACCACCAACTCTACTACCTAACCGAACAGTAACGCTAACCGCCCCGTAGTCCCTGTTGATGGACAAGCAAAAAAAAAATAATAAAAAAATAAAGCGACAGCGTACATAAACCACTCGTCGCCACACAACTCTAGACACCTGACCCCACCAACCACGGGAGACACGTCAGGCACTTCTCACCAGAACGACGCTACCACGGGCGGACTGCTACGGCGAAAAAAGGAAGATGTCTCCCTGGCGGACGACGACGTCGATTGCGGCCGCTGCCTAGACACTTGACACTTTGCGTGACGACAACGAAACACCACAACCCGGCGGCGGCATAATGGACGGCCTGATCATGTTCACGACACGGCACCGCCTGTTGATGTGGGACGGCCACCTCCCCTTCCTTCCGCCACTGGATCTCTTCGGTGCTTTCCCGCTTCTCACTGCTTCGTTCCTCATACTCGTTAAACTCATAGCGGGGTCTCCAACTGCGAGCACGGTCAACCTCACTGCGCAATCATCCGCTCCGCCAACGTGTCCCTCAATATCAGCGCATCCCCCGTCGAAGACTCCATGCACACTGGCCGCAATGGCTGATGCATCCCCAGATCCACTCTACGACGCACGCCGTCAGGACCCACCTCCCACAACAGATTGTCATCAAACGGGACGCCGGCGTCGATGAGTATGTTGTGGAGGATGCAGACGGCGACAAATTGCTGCGGCAAGCTGTCCATGTTGCACTTGTGGGTGCGGAGGAACAATCGCCACGTCCCCTTCAGTCTGCCAAACGCCTTCTCCACTGCTCCCCTCGCCGTCTTCTGTTTGTTGTCGAAGCATGCCTCCGACAGGTGTTGCGCGAGACCGCCGTAAGGGACGACTATCCATTCCGACTGGGGATAACCATTGTCGCCGAGCAAGTAGCCATTAGTCCGCACACTGAAAGGCAGCATCACAGGTGGCCCAGTGAAAAGTTGTCCTGATTCCGCGTGCACCCACAAACTCGACAGGTTCAGCATCCTCATGTCGTGCACACTCCCCGGATAACCGATGAAGATGTCCAGCACACGCAAGTTCATGTCGACCACCACCTGCACCTGCACGGAGAATCGACGTCTCCTGTCGCAGTAGTCCTCACCGTTGGCATTCGCGGGTTTGTCGATGTAGATGTGTGTGCAGTCGATGCACCCATGGCAGTTTGGAAACCCTTTGTCCGTGAACGCACGCAACACGACCGCCTTCTGCAAACCTGTGGGCCATGATATCTTGTCGGGGTACGCAGCCAGCAACGCAGCCGTGACGTCACGCACTGCCGTGATGCCGGAAGCCCTCCCGATGCCGAAACTACACGTCCCGCTGTCGTACGTCTCCCCCGTGGCCCACCTGTACAGTGCGTAGGCAATGATGTGGTCTGGCTGCAACCGCACCCTGTAGAACGTCACACGGCGTTGAAGGAGTGGGGAAAGAGTCTCCGCGATCTCGCGAAAAACACGAGGCGACATTCGAAGCTTTTCCTTGAAGTAATCATCCGTCGCGTCATCACATTGCCGCAGATCCTCCCACGTGCCGCCCGTCCGCCGCTTCACCCACCACCGTGGAGTCGCCCGTGGAAACCCGCCGCACCCCATCGCGTAGGAGACCTCCAGCACCGCGTCGGAAATGGCAGCCACATCCAAGCACTGGCCAGTCGTCGGAAGCGCCAACAGCTTGCGCCGTGCACGAACAGCCGCTTTGAAGTTCGCCTCGCTGCTCGCCATCTGACAACAGAACAGGACGGCATTCACCGCCGCAGCAACAACCGTCCTTTCTGCCGTCGTCAAACCGTCGCGCCCTGGCTCGCCGTCAATATCCATCCCAGACGCCGCTTCCGATGACATGACGTCAATCAAACTACTCGACTCCACAAACACCGCCACGTGGAAGATCACAGCGCCGCCTATGCGCAATACCTTGGGAGCCACGCAGTGACGATGGTCGTCTGCCTTTCCCAACAGTCAGGTTTTGATGTCGTCTCCCTTGCCGCCAACGCGTACACGACCGTGCTCATCGACCACAACCGCCGGGGACAATCGTCACTTATGTGAACGCCACGACCGCCAGCCGCAGATGCAACCAGGCGTGAAACTTACGTCCGCCATTCGGGAAGCCAGATTTCAAATTTCGAATTTTGAACACGAGCGCTGCGCGCCATTTCCAATGGCCCCGGTTTTGTTTTTTTTCTCGTTTCCCGCCGTCGTGCGAATTCGCGACGGCCAACAGAGGTGGACCAGCGCCGTCCGCACGGACACAACTCGGTGGACCACCGTCAGCCCCACCCCTGCGTCCGCTTGTGCATATATAAATCTGGGCCGCGGGAGCCCCGAGGAATCGTCCTGGGGGGTCGACTCCGAGGATGAGTGGAACGAAGGCGAGAATTTCCTTGGGCGACTCCGAGGAATTGAGGAGTGTTGAACGAGGCCCTTAGCCTTATTAAAAAAAAAAAAAAAAGCCGTCCACAAAAATCTCCAAATCAAGTGTAGAAGACACAGAAAAAGAATAGGGGAGTTTCCCCAAAAAAGAAAAGGGGAGATCTCACATTGTTTTTTTTTTTTGTTTTTGTTTTCTTTTATGAACTCAGGTTTGTATTTCTTAACAATTCATGCACATACAAAGTGAGCTAGGCCAATCCATAGCCTTAGGGGTAGTGGTAGTTTACTAAAGCAAAAAGCATATGTTTAATGACGTGGCAGAGAGCCAGTTAAAATATGTGAAGTGAGAGAAAATATATGGGGTAACTTCGGAGCAGTCACCAAAACAGTTTGAAAACGCACTTCAGGCAATCCCACAAACACAACACACCCCGACGTGACCCCACCAAACCTGGTCAAATACATTGAATTTCACCATTACCAGCCTTTCGCCTCAAGTGCATTTTCATGTCAAACCCTGGCTTCGCTGTAGTTTTCTCAAAATACATACATAGCTGTCCCCCATGAGGAGAAGACGGTTAAAAAAAAAGAAAAAAGAAAAAAAAGAACTGGTCAGGGGGGAGGAAGAACTTTTCTTTTTTTTTTTTTTTTTTTTTTTGGAGGAAGAACTTGAACCAACTGACCTACTTCAGCTGCTACACCCATGAACTGCTGAAACACAGACCTGAGTAGAGTTTTTGTTTAGTGTTTTTTTCTTTTTTTCCTTATTTTGTACTTGCTAATCTTCTCTGTATCGTTCTAATTTTAACCGTTGTCTCGAATTTGTTTAGTTTTGGATTCTAGAGATTTTGAGACAGCCAGGCCACCATTAAAAAGAAGCCCTTTTTTATCTGCAGCCTTTAGATTCGTGGGCGGCCTGAAGAGGTCTGATATCTCAATAATGATTGTGTAGCCAGGGAGAAAAGGTAAAGAGAGACCTGACAACTAACAGACCAACCACAGATTTCTTCAGAGAATTGTGTCAACAAAAGGAAGAAAACAAGGAGGTCCTTGTTCTGGCTTGCAGCTTCCTAGGGCTAGAAATTACCTTCTTCCCCCCGAACACACACGTACGGTCATTATAGCTGTATATAGACTGAAAGATAACCCGAGTACAGCTATGACGACCGTACATGGTATTCGAGGGAAGAAGGCAGGATCCCTGGAATACAGAACCCTGGGCGTTTGGTTTGGTGAGGATTGTGTCAACAGTGCCTATTTTATTTTTATGTTTTTTTTTCCAGGAAAAGTTGGACAGGCTCGGGATATGGCAGTTGGCATTTCAGCTCAACAGCGCATGTTGCATACTCCAATGAGTGTGGGCAGAACCAAGAATCAACCAATGTAGGAAGAGTATAGATGCAACGGAAGTCTGATAAACGGACTGACTCACATAGAC